ACCTTATAAAACTGAAATTAATGACCTAGAGTCTTTCATTCAGTTTCTTCTATTTAAGTATTTTGTTATCAGCCTACTTTTTGATAGTATGATCTGGTTTGCTGGGGACTGCTGCACCTTAAGCCTATTGTCCTGGCATAATTATTAAAACTCTCCCTTTTACTCTCAAGAAATGTCCTGGTTTGGGCTGCAAATTTTAGGATAACCCTACAAAGTACTTCCTATGTGCCAGTAACTCCCCAAGGTGCTTTCATTTATCCTCAAATCTTATGAGACAGGGTACAATTATTACCTCCTTTTATTCATGAACTAATAAGGCTCTGAGTGGTCAATTTTCCTAAAGTCACTCGATAAGTGTTAAAGACCAATATGTGAACAACCCAAGCAGTCTGATACCAAAGTTCTAGTACTTAACCACTATAATACATTGTACTATCTCTCCTTAGAAAGATGGGTAGAAGAGCATAGGGAGGGAGATATCCAAGTTTTTGGAAAAAGAGTAAGGGGTACCAGCCTTGGCGTGTCTGGCTGGGTCAGTCAGTAGAGCATGTCACTCTTCAACTCAGGGTTGTGAGTTCGAGCCTCATGTTGGGTGTAGAGATTACTTAGAAATAAAATTAAAAAAAAAATTTTTTTTAAATAAGAGATATCAGTTTTCTGGAAAACATGTCTACATAATCCTCACGGTTTCTACAATTCCATAAACTTACAATACTGAAACATCTAAGAAAATATTTGAAGCGTAAAATTATTTCAGACTTTATGACCATGGGCTTCCTTAGGAGACAAAAATTCCAAGACTATTTTTCAAATATTCTTGAGACACTACTTTGAAAACATACTGAATAATTATGTCCTGTTCAAAAAAAATCAGATTATTCCAGGGGCACCTGGGTGGCTCAGTGGGTTAAGCTTCTGCCTTTGGCTCGGGTAATGATGTCAGGGTCCTGGAATCGAGCCCCACATCGGGCTCTCTGCTCAGCGGGGAGCCTGCTTCCTCCTCTCTCTCTGCCTGCCTCTCTGCCTATTTGTGATCTCTGTCAAATAAATAAATAAAATCTTTTAAAAAAATCAGATTATTCCATTAAAAAAAAAAGAAAATGAGTAACTCACTGTATGTTACAAAAATGCAGAGTGAAAAGTATTACTGAACTGGAATCAGCTTTGCTACTCAACAGCTGAGCTGTCCCTTAACCTCTCCAGACTTCAGCTTCTTCATGGGTAGCAGAGAAAAACGGTTACCTGGTTAAGAAGACCTAAGGGGATTAGATGAATTTCAAGTACCTTGACAAACTCAGAGGACTACATAAATTTAGGATATTAATAATAGACAGTCATAGACTTCCAACAATGTGGATCATGACTCATGACAAGTATTCCATATTTGTGAAAAAGAAGACGACACTAAAAAGATTAAGAGCAGTCACGAACATCAATTCAGAGGCTCCACTTTACTTCATTCTGAAAAACCGGTGCCACATACCAGCTAATGTCCTTAAATTGAGATTAAGTGGAATAATTACAAAACTGAAGAGGTTCAAAGACTTATAATAAATCTTATTTTTAACATAGTTCTTTATCTACTTAACTACACGTAGAATGGTTTAACCAAATTATATTTACAGAGCATTTTTGTTTCCCAAAAATCATTTTCATAGTTGATCCTCTACAAGACATATGATAGATATTATTCTCATATGATTATTAAGAAACTGAGGCTCAGAAAGAATACTTTGCCCAGCTCCTTTATGACAAGAAAGTGAAGTGGACAGGTGACTCCCAATTCTACACAGAAAAAAGCAATTTGGATGTTCTAGAGCAAAAGAAAAGCCTCTTTATTGGCTGAGATAAGACACAGAATACCTATAAATTCAAGCTGTCTGAAAAAGCAATATTCAGGGGCACCTGGGTGGCTCAGTGGGTTAAAGCCTCTGTCTTCGGCTCATGTCATGATCTCAGGGTCCTGGGATAAGTCCCGTATCAGGCTCTCTGCTCAGCAGGGAGTCTCCCTCCTCCTCTCTCTGCCAGCCTCTCTGCCTACTTGTGACCTCTGTCCAATAAATAAATAAAAATCTTTAAAAAAGAAAAAGAAAAAGTAATATTCATTGGAGCCTGCCTGCACATCTCTAATAGTTTAAATATTCACAGAAAAATTAATATTCATGTTCATTTGGATCTCAAACTATTATTGAATTTACAAGCAAAAACAAGGACCTATAATGAGCAAAATCAGGTTATTTTTTCAGAGTGGCAAACCTTATGGTGTTCCCAACCCTTCTATGATTGACCATTGCTGGCATTATTCCCTAATAAGGGAACACTTAATTTTCTTCCAAAACTCATTTGCTAGATTTCATAAATTAGCTACTATAAAAGGATCTGTATCAGAAAAACTCAAACATAAGAGGCTTTTTTTTTTCCAATCTATTAAAAAGGCACATTAAATACACAATGCTGGCCACATTATTTTAGATGACTGAAAACAACAGCTGATGATAGCCAGTTGGGACAAATGCCAACTGTTCTCATTTGTCTGCAAATGTTAAAATTAATCACTGTTTAAGTTATAAATTTTCAAAAAATATTGGTATCTGTAAATGAGAAAAGTGTATCAACTAAAATCCTAAAAAAGACTAAAAATAATGGTGCCTCTTTGATCTGCAACATTAGTTTTTAAAATTTTTATGTTCTGAAGTAAACACATCTCAACAGCTTTATATATTTTCATACATTTTATTTTTTTAAACATTTATATTTTGCAAGCTAGCAGTAATATATTGAAAACAATATTTTACTAATTAGCACCGTATAACTTTTAAAGCTAACTGGAACATTGTTCATTGTAAATAATTGTAAAATAAAACGATCATTTCAAATGCCAAATTAGTCTCAAGTAACATGTGAACCATTAATTTTATCATTATTTTTGGCTTTATGCACAAAGATGTATTTCAAAAATGAACTTAGTATCAGTCTGTCAATCGAACAAATTAAAGTAACACAGTTTAAAGCAATATTTGATCTCTGAAATTATTATTATATGAGGCATAGAAGCTGATAAATCAGCTTTAAAAATAAAAGATACTACATAACTTAGAGTCCCTTATTTCTTAGAATGAGAAAATAATGAAAAATTCAATGGTATAAGAATCGGTTACACATATGGTTTAGTATGTCATTATTGTCATACTTTCCTTATGAGTTTAGCCTTACCAAAAAGCCATCAAAATGTCCAGGATAACTCACAGGGACAGCTGGAAGCCTGAAATAAAATGGCTCAGTGCAAAAGATCCCAAGCCATTCATATAATTTTAAAAGGAAGCCTAGACATTTAGCTCCTATTTTTGTGTCCACCTGAAAAAAAATCTTTTGAAAATATGGGAAAATACCTGATGATACTCAAATCACTTTCACACATTAAAAAAAAAAGGAGAGTTTCTGTTTCCCGTTTTCTGATAAGAGCACACTCTTCAAGGCTATGGGGTTAAGTTCTAAGCCACGATTGACTGCTTACTAGCATGCCTGTTTTGCATACCAGTAGAATCGAGTCCAGTTTTGCCATTTGTGGATAACTATGACAAGATACAAAAGCATGTGTTTGCCATAAATAGCTCTGGCTAACAGCAAACTGCTCACACTGAGCAGATCAAATTCTCTATAAGGAGAGCACTCTGGACCACAGCCAAATCCCACTACTAATGCTTAAGACTGCTACATCATTTTTTCTTTCCAATTTGCAAAATAAATTAAGAAATGATAGCTGAAATGAAAGATCCTAAACATAAGGAGTATTAACTTTTGAAGGACATTTTATAAATTATTTTCATTACGACCAAATACGCAGTAAGAGCTTCCTGCTTCTACTACTTAATTACTTAGAAATGTAAACGTGAATTAAAAAATAACTCCCCTAATTTACCCAGAGAACAAATCTGGTATTGAAGAATATTTATGTCAAAGTGCAAAAAATAACTTCCGATCTTCATATTAACATATAAGGAAATAAATAAACTAATGCTTATAAAAGTATCCCTCTGTCACAATATTTTCTATTAATTGGCTTTATGATAGAATATTTTTTAAACTCAACAAACTAGAAAATATCATGCATGAATGTTGTACAAAAAAATTCTTAAATGACCAGTGCAAAGATTAATAATAGCTGTTTACCTTAGAAGTTGCTTCACATACCATGTTGCAAAATGTCCAAGGAAAACAAGGCAACGTTCTGTAATATGCCACAATTTTTATTGCAACGTGGCCATTATTGTGAGGGTGGGGTTTGATCTCAAAAACAATGTTCCATTTAAGGCTCTTTTATACAGAAATTGCCATCATGACTGATACTCAAAATGTTTTTAGTGTTGCAAAACTTACATGGTAAACATAAACTCCTACACTTATTCAGTAGTGTACACTCAATGGAAAATGAAGAGGCATTAGTAACAGCTATCTCTTTTAAGATATGCAGGTAACAGGAACGAATACTGAGGTACTAGGGTAAGTGGATGACACAGTTAACAAAACTTAATTGGCATTCCTTTTGGGGGAGCGGTGGGAGGTTAAACTCATTACAAAAAAAGTGCTTTCAATGCATAGTGTTATATCTGTGCTGCCATGTCACAAAAATAGGCTTGCCCAGGCAGGTGAGGTGTATGAATGCTTGAGCCTCACAGAACGGCAATCAAGTGCAACTATAAATAATAATACTGAATAAAGTTTACCATCTGACCAGTGGATAATACTTTCAAGGCATTCAATCAGCTTACCCTTTGCAGTATTCTAAGCTATTCACACTGACAATCACTTTCATTGTAGTGCTTGCTGCAAGGGAGGCATATAACCAGTTGTTTTGGCTAAAATATGATGGGAAGGCATTCCTTGGATTCCACATTAAAGTAACAGTATTGAACAGTCTAATGGCAATCACTGATAGGTTGCTTACATGAATGATATTTCCTTCATTCACTGTATTGGAAGGACCCAGTGGGAAGAGAAAGAAAAAAAAAAACAAAACACCTAATACTATTTCAATTGATTGAGCTGGAGAAATGGAAGCTCCTTAAGATCCAGATGGCACTTGACTGTCATTTTATAAGGGTTTTCCTTCAAGTGAAACTACTACGTTGCCTCCCAATTTCTCTCCAAGTGTTGAACGGTCCTTTATATCATCCAAGCCATTTACTTGCCACTCATGTTTAATACCTAAAAAGGAAAAACATTATCCCATTATCTCATTATAATTAAGAAGGAGTAATTCCTCTGCACAAAATTTTTAATGTCTGTACCTGTAAATTTCTTTTTAATGGCATCTTTAGAGCTAGCATAAATCATCTTGCTTTTTAAAGGTGCACTTTCAGGAGCCCTACAGAAAAAGACACAATTGTTGAATTCCACTTAAAAGAAAAACAAAGGCAAAACTGACTATGTTAATAACAAGCCTTGCATTTTAAAAGTACTTTTTCTTTTGTTTTTACACACCAGAATATAAATACTAGGTCTTCTTTCTTAGACTCTTTTGTTTCGTATGTGGCATCGTACAAAGCATATCGGCAATCATTCAGAGGTAGCAACTTCACAAAAGATGTGTAGGGGTCCTCTACAGTATCACCAATGTCACCCACCAAGATCTGCTTTGCTTCTTCTACAATTATTTGTCTTTTGTCATCGCTTAAACAGAAGAGAACGGCTTTCTTTCTTTTTTTGATCTCCTCTTGTGTAGAAGATTTCCTTACTTTCATATCATTAAAAACTTTGATGACTTCATCATTCACTGTAACTCCAGAAGCCTGAAATAAAAAAAGAACAGTAATTCAGAACAAGCATTTTGGTTTTAACCAAAATTACTGTTTGCCTAGAGAGGATTCACTTTAATCTGGACATCAAAAATTGCATCGCACCATGCAAGTAGTCCAATCAGATTCGCCACATTTTAATTATCAGTATAAGAGATGCGCCGAAGGATTCTAACTCATCCTGCCCCATTCATCCTTTTTAAAGGGGTTTGGAGGTTGAAGTAAATGGAAGGTGGAGGGAAAGGGACAAATGCAAGCTGTCCCATCCCTGAAATGTTTCCTATTTCACTGGGTGATGTCAGAGCTTCAGGAGCAGCAGCAAAAATACCTTCTGTATTGTGTCAACTCTGCAGGCCTTAAAAAAACACTTTTGGATTTCAGTTAAAGCTTCTACTATTTTTTTCTTTAAAGTCATCCTAGCCAGTGCCGTTTCCTCATAAGGAAAGAGAATCAAGTGTGAACTCCAAACCGCCCACGGCTACAACATAATTGCCTCACAGCTCAAATGCAGACACTTCAAAACTAACGGAGCTAGTGTAAAAGCTTTTTACGGCGAAAAAGCATGTTTAAAAAGCGTTCTCACACCTCCTTAATCTCCTTTTAGGGGTTTTATTACAGGCCACCAAGACCCTTAACCGAAAGCCTTCAGCAAGGGCTTTAGAGCACGTACCAATTTGAGAGGCTAGCGCTAAGTAAAAGGAAGCCCCGCGCAAACGCGGCACACGCGGGATCAGCCCCGCAGACCCTCCCGCGTCCCTGGCCGCAGCTCCCAAAGCCTCGACCTCTCCGGACGCCTCCTGTCCGGCTTAGGCTCTGGCCCCCCACCCCCGACCGGCGCCCTCCTCGCCCTCAGGGATCCGAAGAGCAGCAGGGCCCGGCCTGACGGCGGGAGGCTAGGCCGGCCGGCAGGCTGGCTGGAGAGCGAGCAGCGGGGCCGCAGCGCTGCAGCCCCCACCTTAAAGGCCTAAATCAGGGTAAAATGGCGGCCTCGCCCCCAGGGCCCTGCAGGGCCGCGCGGGGGATTCTGCTTCCCGCGTCCCGGCCCTCGGTGCCTGGGGGTGGCGCGCCCGCCTTACCATAGTGCCCGCGGCTGTGGCTGCGGCGGCGGCTCGGACTCCGGCTCTGTGGCACTGGTAGGAGAGGGAGGGGCGGGCGGGCAGCGGCGAGTGCGGGGCACGCCGGGAGCTGCAGCCGGAGAGGCGGAGGCGGAGGCGGGGGCGGGGGCTGCGGCGGCTGCAGCGGTAGCGGCGGCACAGGGGGCTGCAGGCGGCCGGCGGGGCTGTCACGTGGTCACGTCCCGGGCCGGCCCTGCCGCCTCCCTACCCCGCCCGCGTCCTAGACCTGACCCCGGCGCGCGGGCGCGTCCAGCAGGCCCGAGCCGCCGTGTGGCGGTGGGTGGGGCCCGGGGGCCTGGCTGAGCCGACTCCAGCCCCGGGGCAGCATTTGTCAGCCAGCCGGGAGGACGCCGGACTCCCGGAGGGGCGCTTCCGCATGCCTCCCCCAGGGCGCTGCTCCCGGGCTAGGGCGCCCGTGAAGGGAACCGTGCGCCAGGATGTCTTTTAGTTTCCTGTGGTTTCCACGGAAAGGGGTGGATTCCAGCGTTTTGAGTTTTTTTTTTGGAAAACCTGTGTAAGAGATGGCGTGAATTATTGAGATTTCCTTCCTCCAGTTAAATGAGGATGAATACTGTAGGGGGTTACCCCAGTTGACTGAATTACTCAGCAAAAGCAAAATGATAAATAGAAGTGGAAAATGACTTTCGCGAAGTCTGTGGTGGACATAATAACAATAGGGGGAAAATTGGGTGGTAACATCCCTGGGTAGATATGGATGCTGGTAGTCCTTCCTTCATGAAGTCCCCGCTCTGACAGCTGATATCAAATAAATGGACCCAAGAGTAGAGATTTCCTCCTTCTTGGCAATTACACCTCTTCTAGCAAAGCCTACATCACCGAGCCAAGTGTCTTCTCTAACTAAACCTTTTTGGTACTTAAACATGTATCTACTTATCAAAAAGAAAAAAAAGTCACTTGGGCTCCTGGGTGGCTCAGTCGTTTAAGCATCTTCCTTAGGCTCAGATCATGATCCCGGGTACCGGAATGGAGTCCTGTATCAGGTTCCTGGCTTGGGGGGTGGGGTGGGGAGAGTCCTCTACCCTTCCCCCTGCTCCTGATCTCACTCTCACTCATATAAATAAACTCTTAAAAAAAATATGTCACTTTATACTTCGAGGAAAAATTTCTGTGATCTATAATTTATACCTGAATAATCTATAATGAAAGAAAGATTTAATAAAGTGTTTAATTATTTTGGGCTGATTTATGCTACCTTTTCTCCTGAATGCTTACTATTTCTATCTTTCTTCATTTGTAAAATTGATAAAATAAATTTAAAGCTCTGATAAACTTATTTTTTGAAAAAGACTTGCACTAAAAAAGTGCACTTGTTATAACCTAAAACTGCTGGGAAGAAAATAGTAAGTCCAGATAAATCTTGACACAAACTAAGTGAGAAGGGCACCACATGGGCAAGAACTTTGGGCTGGGAGCTGATAGACTTGGGTATTAAATCTTGGCACTGCCCTTATCTCTATAACCTCAAAGGACTTTCAGCCCCACTGACAAAATAAAACAAGCTCTCATTAAACTATCTTTAAAGTCCTTTCCAGCTTTAAAATCCAGTTTCCTGGTATTTACACATACCAGGAAATATACACACCCCTTGTGTGTATTTTCTTAACGGAAAGATTGACTTAGTTTAGAGACAAAATTTCCCAGTGTGTAAGCATGAATGGCAAGCAAGTGGATACAATACTTTATATTTAGGGGCGCCTGGGTGGCCCAGTGGTTAAGTGTCTGCCTTTGGCTCAGGTCATGATCCCAGCATCCTGGGATTGAATCCCCCACCCCAGTTGGGCTCCCAGCTCAGTGCGGAGCCTGCTTCTCCCTCTCTCACTGCTGTGTTCACTCTCTCACTATCTCTCTCTGTCAAATAAATAAGTAAAATCTTTAAAAAATACTTTTTGTAGCTGGTACTTTACAATTTGTGAAACTGTTGGGAAAGAAAAACTTCTCTTTGCCCTTCAAGTTCTTCTGGCTGGTCTAAAATCAGATTGGCAAGAGACAAATTAACAGAGGAAAGTCAAATTTCATTTTGTACGTAGGGAGAATCCAAATAAACATGAGATTCCAAAGACAAGTCGGGCAAAATGAAGTACATATGTTTTTGTTTTTTTTAAAGTAAGCTCTGTGCCCAATGTGGGACTTGAACTCATAATTCTGACATCAAGAGCTGCGTGCTCTATCAACTGAGCTAGCCAGGTGCCCCCAAATGGAGGCATATATGTCATCCTAAACTAAGGAGAAGGGGTAGGTAGAAGTCTGGGACTTCAAAGCGAAGGAAGACACTTCTAAGGAAGAAAAGAAAGAGTAAATGTTTGGTTAAAAAAAAAAATGTTTGGGCGCCTGGGTGGCTCAGTGGGTTAAAGCCTCTGCCTTCGGCTCAGGTCATGATCTCAGGGTCCTGGGATCGAGGCCCGCATCGGGCTCTCTGCTCAGCGGGGAGCCTGCTTCCTCCTCTCTCTGCCTACTTGTGATCTCTCTCTCTCTTTCTCTCTGTCAAATAAATAAATAAAATCTTAAAAAAAAGAAAATGTTTGCTGGGCCACGCAGAACAATGGGACATAGAGAGAGCTTTGATCAAATAGGCCTTGCTAGTTTTCTCTGTCTGCTCTGCCTAGTTCATATTTTAATGTAGTTCTCTGTGGTGATGGCTCTGTTAACTTGAGTAGGTCTTCTATCTAAATTCCTTTAGGAGGTTGGAGGGGAAGCGCAGAATTTCTTCCTGTGTCTTTTTTTTTTTTCTTCCTGAGTCTTTTGGGCCTTGATTATTTTTAGATCAAAATAATCTGCATGCCAAAATGGCACATCTTGGGGCTACTTATTCCGAATGCCCACAAAACCTTTCGCTTTCTGTATCTCTCTTGAAGTTCCATGGAAATTATGGGGAACAGATCTCCAGTGCTCCAAACATTTGTTCTATCTGGGTATCAGGCACTCTTCTCCTTCCTCCACTCTTCCTCTCAGGTCTCCCTCCCTCCACAGCTTGAAATTTGAAGCAAAATGATTCCATAGAGGCTACAACCCTGACACAGCCAAGGGCTGGGGACACAGGGACCTAGATTAGGTGTCAGAACTCCCATCAAAACGGGGGATTTCAAAGATGTTAGTCACCCCCAGCTGCGACACCAAACCCTCTCCACTCCCCAACTACCCCTCTCCACTCCCCACCTCCCACCAGCAGAGTGGATATTTTCCATACACTAGGATTCTTTTCCTGAAGATATTTTTGTCTTCGCACATATCTTGTTGCATTGTACTAGTTTATGTGTTTCAGCACCCTGCTAGGCTCTAAATTCCTTAAGGATCTGAGACCTACTCAACCTTTGAATTTCTGGAACCTAGAATATAGTAGGGGCTCAGTAGACAGTGAAGTAACATATTTAAGATGCTTTAGTGTTATAGAGAGAAGAAAAAGGAAGATCTTGAAGACTGTGAGTTCTTTCCATGTGACCTTGTGAAGCCAGCACTTAGAAACTCAAGGCCAGTACTCCTTTTCTTCATACCTGTTATTTAAACCAGAACCTACCACCACTTTGTAAAGGGATGACATTACCAAGAATTACTACAGGAATTTTGGTCCCTGTGTAGTGGAGGGATCTGAGTGTCAGACATCATGTGTGATGTGGGAAACAAAGGCAGAAGAAAAGTTATTAACATTCCTTACTTCTTACAGCCCACTAACACGTCCTTGAAACAGCAGAGTGACCTTTCTCTAAGGACTCAGCTGCCTCACTGTTAATACTTTGCTAAGGGGAGAAGGCAATCTTAGCCCAAACCCCAGGATTCTGTAATTCTACTTTAACATACAAAAATTCCTTTGGAAACTTCCTTTGTCTCTCCCCTCCTCCCAAGATACATGTTGGCAATCATCCCCAAGCATATGACCCACTGATATACATCACAACTCAGGTTTTATTAGACACTAATAAATGCTTTTCTGGGGCACCTGGTGGCTCAGTTGGTTAAGCGTCTGCCTTCAGCTCAGATCATGATCCCAGAGTCCTGGGATCAAGCACCACATTGGGCTCCCTGCCCAGTGGGGATTCTGCTTTCCCTCTCCCCCTGCTCCTTCTCTCTTTCTCACTCTTTCGTGCATGCACGTGCACACACACTTTCTCATAAATAAATAAATGAAATCTTTTAAAAAATGACCTTTTCCTAGCAACAGGTAGCCCCTTCAAGGTCCTGGAAACCTCACTTCCAAAATTTCTTAGAGACTTAGGCTATCCCTAACCCCTTCCCAACTTGAAAGTATATAATGGGCCACTCCTCATGACCCCCCGGGCAGGGGGTCCTTTCTGCCCAGGGTCCTGCTTTTATGCTTTAATAAAACCACCTCTTTGCACCAAAGACATCTCAAGAATGTGTTCTTGGCCATCAGCTTCGAACCCTCACATCCCCTCACAGCTTTCCTACATCAACACGTATTAGCTTCCTGTGGCTGCTGTAACAAACTACCATGAATTTAGTGGCTTAAAAACAATACAAGTTTATTGCATTGCAGTTCCAGAGATCAGAAGTCAGAAGTGAGTCCTACAAGGCTAAAATCAAGATGATGGCAGCCCTACTTGCTTTTGGAGGCCACGGGACAAGAATCCATTTCCTTGTCCTTTCTGGCTTCTAGAGGCTGCCCATATTCCTTAGTTTATGGCCCCCAGGCGGCTTCAGTCATCACATCTCTGATTCTTTCCTGCCTCCCTTTTTTACTTCTGAGGACCAGTGTGATGATTTTGGACCTGATGGATAATTTAGGATAATCTCCCAGCTCAAATCATTAACTTAATCACCTCTGCAAAGTCTTTTTTACTATGTTAAGGTAACATAGTCATAAGTTCTGGGATTTAAGACAGGGACATCCCTTGGGGATGTTAAAAAAAACAAAAAAACAAAAAAACAACAAGCTCCAGATGGAGTCCTTTGCCACCCCCACCCCCACTCCCCTGTGACAGGGAGCCAAGTCTTAATTACAGTTTCAACCTATTCCAGGAATATGCCTGGGATATCCCCCTTCACCATATGTCCTGGCCTGAAACAGGTCTTTCTTTTGCTAATAACTCCCT